ACAGGTATGACTCACTGGCACCTGGCAAGCGTGGCACTTTTTAGTAGCCTGATCTTAATTATTTAACCTCTGACCTCTGTTGTCTAAAAAAGAAAAATCTAGTACACTGTCGGGAGCCCTAAAGGGAGTCTCTCTGCATGATAAGCTTGACTATCTCGCTAGAACATCTCAAGGCTGTTTACAGGATCTGGTCCTTTCATCCTGCCCCAAACAAACACCTGCTAACCTGCTGCTAAGGACCACCTTTTCACACTGCCCTAAGCAAACATCCTGCAGCTGCTACGGCCAATGAAAAAGCTTCCTTATTCTAAGCATATAAATACCCCTGTGTGAAAAATAAAAATTTGCAGCTTGATCAGAATCCTTGTCTTGCTGTCATTCTTCGTGTCTCTTGTCCCTTCATTCCTTCTTGCTTAGGTTCATTTCCTTCGTTGAAGTCCTGCGGGTCGGGACAGTACACTTTCACTAATCCTTAGTATGTTTGGTAGTACTAGGCAAAGCTTCATTTACTTCATGTGACAAATGGAAATGTAACCGTGCTTACATAACAGAACTTTGAAATAAAATTGGATCATACACGTGAAGTGCACAGCAGAATGCTTGGCAAGCTATCACTAGTATGCTTCATAATGTGCTAGGTGTGGGGTAAGTCTGTCTTGCAAGTGACAAGGGATAGTTATCAAATTTGGAATTTAAAAAGTGTTAAATAAGTGGAAGGCGTTTCCTTTCTCCATTTCTGTTGGGATATACATAAGATGATAATATGCTGCAGTAGAAGAGGGGGAGGCTGGCAACCCTGCTTCTGAAGATTACTTCCTCAACCATGTGATAAGTTTCAGCTGAGGGCCTTTGTGGGTTTTTGCACCAGATGAGGAAAGCTGTCTATCTGAGGTCACAGTCCCTTTTCTGAGCACCCTTTAACTCAACAACTGATGGATAGGAATATTAAAATCTGAGCCCTGTGCCCCAAATTAGGGTGAGTCACCACAGTCCCAGAGTTTCCTAAGATCAGCTTAGGCTTTCTATGGAATGGAACTCCTTTGTCCAATCCTCCTTTTATTCTCCTCAAGCTATTGATCCCAGGAACACTCATGCACCACAAATCTGTCTCAGAGTCTGCCGCCTAGGGAAATGACTTATGACACTTGCCCAAAGTCCAAAAGCTAATGAGAGATCAAAATGGAATTTACAAAGGATGTGCCAGCATAGTTCTATAATTATAAAATGAACAGAAAAGCTGAAAAAAAAGAATCAAAGATACCACAAGGTAATACTATTACTAACCTTCTAAAATGATTTAATCATAATGCCTCATGGTGGATTATAATAAAAAATAAATTCCTTTGATATGAAACAAGACAGTTTCTACATCTACACAGGAAAATATGAAGGGGCTGAAAAAGACAAACTTGCTGGAAATATTTTTTATTGCATTCCAGAAACAGAGACTAACAGGATAAAAAAGGGCATAAGCATCAAAATAGCCCTATTATTTATTTCATAGAAGAGAGGGTACAAGGTAACAGGGCAACTTAATCTAGCTTTGTTCTTAATGTTATTTCAATATATACAAACTGTAAGTCCCCCAAAGAACAATCTAGATCTAAATATAAGGATAAAATCGATTATAAAACAAGATTTAAATTACAGAGTTACTCTTTTCTCACAATAATATGGATAACAGGGGTTTGACTCCCTTGTACATTTTCACAGAATGGCCTGTGAGGAAGGTTAAAACTCATTATCTACACATTTAACTACACTGGCAATTAAAGTTCATGAACTATTTTATCTTAATGGCCTTATCTCAAAGTGAAGATAATAATTATTATCTCATTCAATAAAGTACCAACAAGTAAATATTTCATGGCACCAATACATTTGAAATGCCACATAAACAAACATGGAAACACATATGGTAGCTTTTGACACGATTGTTATTCGCCAAGTAAAACATAGAAACATGAAGGCACCTGGATGCTTCCATCAAAGACAGCAAAACTTAAACTGATACATTTAAATGTAATCAGAACACCTACCTTATTAAAGAAAAAAAAAAGTCCTGAATATTTCTGCAATAGGCAAAACTACTACCAATGAATTTAAGACTACTGAGCAAGAAATGGAGTAATGCAATTTAAAAGCAAATACATGATTACCTTAAAATATTTTTATACTTAATAAAATATTAGGCATAAGAAAGGTGGAAAATGTCAAGAATGCTTCAAATATGTTTTATATCAATCATTGTGATATACTAGTCTTTGCTAAAATTGCTCAGAATCTCTGCATCTATTCTTTCAATAAAATAATTATAGATCCTAAAGGTAGAAGACCCTTCTATTCTAATGACCAATTCTCAAGAATTCTGAGAAGTATCCCTATTTCCATATTAACACTCAACCCTTTCTTTTTTCTAGCTGTAGTAATAACTTACACCTGAAATTATGATAGTTTAAAGATGTACGATGAACAAATTAATGAATACCAGAATTTTGACTAAAGATAAATTACAGGTAGTAAGGTGATGACAGAGCTGTATATGGCCAGCACACACCTGTAATCCCAGCACTTGGGAGGGTGAGGGAGGATGATGAAGAGTTTGAGGCTCATCTAGGTCACAAAGTTTGATTTTCAAAAATGAAGCAAAATTTTTTAAAAAGTGATTTCATCTTAGCCATTTATCTATTTGTCTAATAGCTATTTGCTATTTAGATTAATTTGTATTCCAGTTTTGGATTTATCTAGACTATCAAAATTTTTTCATATACTTTAAAATGGATAACAGACATCAAAAAAGTAAATATTACACTTAATGAATTAAAAAGAAAAAGTAATTTTCATTTTAAACATAACTCTTACAAAGGATTTAAAGATTTAAATTTGTAATTAAAAAGATGTGACTATCAACATTAAAAATGTGCAGAAGGTTAGATGGAGATATAGTATGCAAACAGGTTTGAAAATCTCCAGATTTTAAAAACAATCACATAAAAGCTTCATTAACCTCTACCATTCTAAATGCTAAACATCTAAGTAAGAAACCATATACAAGAGTTTTGGGGTTGTTAGAGTGACACTGATAGGTAAGCCTTATTAAGAGTTCTTTGTAGACAAGGGAAGATTTGTTTGAAGAATTTGAAGAACTTATGAAATGGGAAGCAGGCTAGAAGTGAGAGTTGGAGACTAGTCATCTGGAATCCTCTAAAGAAAAGGGAAAGAGATTGTGCCCAAATAGAGTCTAGAAAGGAAAGAAGTGTTCCAATCACTAGAGGCTTGGGTTCATGTTTAGCTTTTACCCCTTATTAACTGAACCAGGTTTAGAAGGTCTAAAGTCTATTTTGAAAATCTAATAAGAGGCTAGAAAATAAGTGCAAATTATAAAGCCATAGCACATGTTAGTCATCAAGCCCTCTTCAACTAGGAGACAGTGAGCAGTAGGTTAAAACCATGAGCCCTGCAACCAACCAACTAGATGATCCACAAAAACTATTACTTGCTAGAGAAAACGAGTTAAAGTAACAAGTCTGGGACAGGGTAGCCTATTAACTTCATATATAAAATAAAATGATACATATACAAGTTGTAGAGATATCATGAAGACAAAATTTATGACTAGAAAGAGCTTAGAAATAGTTGCTTTATTATTTGTGGTAGTTAATTATTATTTTCTGATTCTTATTTTTTTTTTGGGGTCCGGTGGTGGGGCCTGAACTCTGGGCCTAAGAGCTGTCCCTCAGCTCTTCAACTCAAGGCTAGTGCTCTACCACTTGAGCCACAGTGCCACTTCAGCTTTTTTCTTTTTGCTTATGTGGTGCTGAAGAATCGAACCCAGGGCCTCAGGCATGCAAGGCAAGCGCTCTACCACTGAGCCAACTTCCCAGATTCTTAATGTCAAATAGAAGTCAAGAGAAAATCATTCATAAGCATTTGTTTAATTGAACATTGAAAAATTACAGAAGCAGCAGCTACTACACTGAAGATTTTTATAACAGAAGGCACTAACATGGCTACTGGCAATTACAGCAAGAGAATGAGACAATGGTTAAGTGAAGATCTCTGTGTGGTAACTGTTGGATAACATGCAGCTTTTCCCATTGTGGAAAGGCTGAAGCACAACATTTTGTTCTACGAAGAACAAAATGGTACAATCAGTACAATCAGTAAGATTATTTGGTCCTTAAAAGATGATGAAATTCATTCAAAATGTTTTTTCAACAAAGTAGGAACACTTTGACCTAAGGAATGCTATTGCTCAAGTACACAAAGACCTCATTCCCAAACACATACCAAACATAGACCTGAAGGCAGCTGTGTGGTGCAAACCCTTTGAGTTCAAATGGTAAGACTTTAGAGGTCATTTAAAAAATGTCAGTGGAGGATGGGAATGTGGCTTAGTGGTAGAGTGCTTGCCTAGCATGTATGAAGCCTGGGTTCAATTCCTCAGTACCACATACACAGAAAAAGACGGAAGTGGTGCTGTGGCTCAAGTGGAAGAATGCTAACCTTAAGCAAAAGAAGCTTAGGGACAGTGCCCAGACCCTGAGTTCTAGTCCCAGGACTGGTAACAACGATAAAAACAATGTCAGTGGAATTTTTAAATTGTAAAAGTAATTAAAAAATCACCATTCTTCAGCTATGCTGTTTTCTTTTGTTATTTCCAGTTTGTGACTTTTCAAACCACATTTAGAACAAGTTATATAGTTCTTCAGAAATTACTTTCAAAAAAATTTAATTTGAAACAAGCTTTCACAAATTTTGGCAAGCATCTTGACAAAAAGTAAACAAAAAACAGCCCCCCCCCAAAAAAACTAATCTATCTATAAGTTTTTGATAACTATACCCAAAAAGCAACACTCCAAAGAGATGGTATTGCTTTATAACTTCACTCAAGCATTATAGATGAGCTCAAACTTGGGCTGTATTTAATATGTTGAGATTCTGCTGGCAAATAATGTACACAAAAAAAACAGATTAGCATTAATAATTTTAAAACTTACATGTATGCCTGGCCAGTGAGTAGTTGGATCCTCCACTAGTCAAACCAAATCCTTCAGGAATCTGACTAGAGCTCCGGGGCCTGGTCAGCAGTTTGGGAGGCTCAATTTCAGCACCAAATTCAGCTCCTATAACGCCTAGTAAAACGATCGCAGTAGCTTGTTTCCGTCTTTCCTCATAAGATGTAGAAATTTTCTTCATTTGTGGGACACTTGATAAACAACCTAAAGACCAAAACATGAGGATATAAATTAAATTTGTTTTAAACAAAGGACTAGAGTAACTGGACAGAGCAAAAAGACCTAGTTGAGTGTAAGCAATGGAAATGGTGACTATAACACCAAAAAAGACTGATGGTTGCTGTTGTTATAGTTTCTTAGTTTCTGTACATCACAATTCTCAAATGAGTCCACAAAGAATAGAGTTATCCTTAAAAATATTGTTATTTTTAAGACAAGTTTAATTTATTACCCATTTTCCTAATTTGTGAAATTTTGTGCAGTATATTTCCGACTACACATATGCTGCTTATTGATGCTCCTTCACTGTCACAAAATCATTGTAAAAGTCACATTTCATCAATTACATTTCTTATAACAATCCTAAAACATTTAACTAATACTAACAAATATTTTTCAATCTGATACCATAGTGTACTTTTTTTTTATCACTTCATAGATATTTTCTACTTCTTTTTAAAGAGAGAGAGGTATTGATCAAGATGCATTGTACTTATATCCTTACATACAGAATTCTAACATCTTTGTACAACTGCTAATTTTTTTTAAAAAAGTATTAGAGGGTTTATGCTATTACAGATTCAAAGTAAAACAGAATATAACAGGGTTCTGTGATAGTTAAGGTAACTAAAGTGAAAAAAACATGTAAAAGCTTAACCATACCAAGAAAAAAAATCAATGATCACTGCCTCTGTGTTTGAAAGCACCTTAATTTCAGACAAAATAATACAGTTTGATAGTCTATATGGAAGTATGTGCATTTAAATCTAACTTTATTTATGTGCAAGAGCAGACACAAGACAATAAGAACACAATGCCACTGCAGCCAGATTCACCAATTATAGTTTATTACAGTACTACATATTTTACTCTTTAAGTAGTATATTCTTGAAACAGGAAGCAAACCATGCTCCCCTCCCCCATGTCTCAGCAAGAGCATGCTCCATAACAATAGTTCAAAGGAAAGCTCTATTCTGCAGTTGCACTGATTGTTCTGTCAGCTGACCTCTGCAGAAGGGAATTGCTAACCGCTGCCTTGCTCCTTAGCTGACAAATGAATGATCGCAACTCCATCTATTTTCACTATGGCTGCCTCTAGCCCAGGTGCTCAGACAGAGAGCCCGGTGTGACATCTTAGATCAAGATGAATTGGCACAAACTCCTGATCCAAGATTGTTTTATACCATTTAATTTAGTTTCTTCCCTTGCTTGGATGAGCACAGCTCTGGTTATGGATTTCTATTCTAATGTACTGAAGCAGGCCCTGAAAGAAGCCAATGAAGCAGCTGCTGGAGCAAGGGACTGCAGGGATACTGATCAATAGGCAAGGCATTGACCCCAGCCGTTCAGCCTCTGCAAGGGCCACTGCATGCAGGGGGAGGGGACCCAGAAACACACATGGGCTACTTCCAGTAGGAAATTAAACAACGGGGCACTTGGAGAGCTCCACCTCTATCCCCGGTTCCCCACGTTCTCTCAGTTCCTTTTGTTTAATTACCTCAATCTTGTCTTAACTCCAGCTTCTTGGGAAGAAATGAAGAGTTAGGGGAGTTTTAATAATGTTCTTTCAAACAGCCATTTGTAAATTTTATCCCTAATCTAATAGAAAGAATTGTAACAGGTGCCGTCTGCTAAGTGGCCAAAATATGAAATCTTAATTAGCTGTTGGAAACATCACTTGGGGTGATTTAAAGTTTGGCACGTGTCTGGGCTCATAATAACACTGTCCAATTGGCTGATGCTGAAATTCTACAGGATGGAATTTTTGTCATCATTCAGATGTGAAAAGATGATTGCTCTTTGTTAATAAGGATAGAGGCAAAAAAGGACAAGGACTCCCTAAAAGGGACATTGATTAATTAGTAATTCTTTAAGGTCCAGATGCATATTCTTTTTACTATTCTAAAATTACAAACAATTTATTGTTCTTTTATTGTTCAAATTTGGACGCATCTTTACATTATTAGTTTGGCCTGAGTTTTCTGTTGAATAACAGCAGGGATATGTAATTAGGTGCAATGTTTTCCTACAAATAAACTGACAATCAAATGGGAGATTTTGAAATATTAAAAGTAAAACAATTCTCGAAAAGTAAACCTTCCCACAGTTTTCATTTGTCTCATGAAAATTTGGTATTTTTTCACAGAGCCATAGCTCCATTTAATCATGCTAAAGGGTGACATAGAGATCCATTTTCTTGACAGGACGGTTGATCACCCTATCACAGTAAGAAAATTAATACCTTCAACTAGCTCTATGTGGAAAACAGCAGCTACGTGCAATGGTAAAGGGACAAAAATGTTCTTTCTGTATTTTAGGTTGTAGACAGGATACATATTTGTTGTGGAAATATGTTTCTTCATTACTGGATTACTTTTAACAAAATATGAGGCTTTGATTTTATTAAAACAACCATTTAATTCATACAATGTTCTCAAAAGTACATAATTGTCTGTAGATTTAGCATAATTGACTCCAGCTTTACACGAACAGGAGTAAACGCTTTACTTACAGCTTAACTAGAGCACAGGTAAAATATCTGAGAAATTTAAGCTATTTAAAGGGCTATGAGATATTGATTACTTCATTTAAAAAGCAGTCAGAGAGTGCAACCAAGAGGTCAAGATAAATTTAACAGTTTGAAGCACTTTACTAAATAACTCTAAAGATCATGTTAATTGGCTTTGTGCAGTTCTAGGGTAAAATTAATTTTATCCTAGCTTACAATAAAAGGATTAAAAGACATATTAAGTTCCTCAGCTTTAACTGGAATAGGAATCAATGGATTTGAATTAAGGCTAACGGAGGTTTTATGAGAGATGGACTACCAGCAGATACTTTATATCTGCAATTAGCCATATATTGACAGAGTACTGCTATTGTATTAAGTATTAAAACCTTAGATAAGTACATACCAACAATTTATTACTCCGAGAAAATACTTCAGATCTGTTAAATATGTTTTCAAAATATTGCTTCTTTGTTTAGGACTCAGTATCAGAATGTTTTTAAAAAATAATTTACTTATATATAAGCATCTAGTAAAAAATTTAATAATGTGGTTCAACTCAATCATAAGTCCCTTAAGATTACAAGCACACTTAAAACATTTCTAACATTAAGAAATTAGTGATAACCCTAGTGACAGTATTTTTTTAAAATCAACATATGATTTTAATACCTAGTTCTGGCACATGATAGAGCCCAAGTGACAGTCCAAATGATAACAATATTTTGTGATTTTTCACCTGAATTTTCAGTGTAACTTAAAACATCATTTTGAAAATTGAGAAATAGATATTTGTCCATAATAAATAAAAAAATAAGATATTAAGTGCTGTTTTTAGAATTTAGTATTTTCCAATCGTATGTATGAGATAAATTGTTATTAATATAGCAAAGTGACAATCATTTGCATTTAATTAAGATATATAGTGTTACATATTAAAAATAACCACGACTTTAAAAATAGAAAAACAATGACCTTTCTAAAACAAAATAAAAAATAATCAAAGAAGACCAGTAAGTTGTAAGGCTTCAGCCTCACGTTAAAAACAAAAGGGCAGCATGTAGAGATTATTTAAAATAATTAAGGAGAAACTAATTTCCATTATGGATCTTTACACACTTCCTTTTATTTGTAACGAAGTGTACGTGTTAATACTAGGTTTTAGTTATTAACAAATGAGTGCATATATAGCAAAGTGAACCTTGTTCATATGGCAATCTAGAGGACAAGAATTCGGACACATGATTTGCTATGTGGCATCAGCACACAATTAGAATGGTCACTGCATATTACTGAAACTCTATAAATGTTAACCCATAAAGCTACATTATATTTCTATTTCCAGCGCAATAAAATAGTTTGCTAAAAATTTCATTTTTATCTAACATTATTTTCCCAACTCCAAAGATATGTTAAATGTGCTATTAACAAATATTGGCCATAAAAAGCATGTACAAAACTGTATAGTAAGTAAAGGTAAATTTAAAATAATACCTGATGGTGAAATTGGTCTAATGAAGACACTTTAAACTAGATTTTAAAAAGTTGAATTCAAATTCAAAAAAATACTTTAATCTAAATAACTTTTCTTCTGATTACTATCTAAATGAATATACCTGGTTGCTTAACAGACTATTATTTATTTTTACATGTTTGATCTTCTTTATATGCTGCTAAGTGTTAGCTCTTAATATAAATATATACACACAATATATATCCACATAGTATAGTCTTAGTGATATAATTAAATTCCTTTCCTAAACTAAGTGCTTTTATATGAGTATTGCATATTATTTTTATTTGTTGACATAGCTTACAGCTTTATAATTTTTACATGGCAAATAAATTTTGGAGGAATGTATAACTGCAGATGGGTAAATATGGAATTTTACTTCTGCATGTAAGTAAAACAATGCAATTACTTTTCATTTTTTTTTCTACTTCCTGTGGAAAAAAGATGAACCTATGAAAAATGAGTATTATAGTGCAATTCAACATGTTTTCTTATTACTACCAATGCAGGAGTGTGTGCAGAATGTTGGTAGTGTGGGAGTTTCCCTCCTAGCATTAAGAATATTTTGTTGTTCATGTTCTTAATGTGACACATCTGCCAGTGTTTTCCTCACATCTATTGACTGAGCAGATGGAATGTGCTCCCCAAATGTAGGAGGCTTTTACAGTTGCTGCTGCTAAGGGCACTATTCTCTCTCACGTGAAAACCAAAGAGAACAAACATGCTGTTAATTTGTATGCATGCACGATAGCCCCCTGCTGGAACACACTGGGTTCTGCAAATGCATATTTCTTTCAGCTGCTGCTGATTAAGCCATTTTGAAATAATGTCCCTACATAGTGTATATTGTATATGTGCACATATTTGACAAGATATGTCAAGCCATTTCCGACTAAGTCAGCTCAAAGCAATATAGCTGGCTAGTAAAAATGATTTTTAAGAAAAATTTAATATCATTATCTT